TATGCAGAACAATCAAACGTAATTTAGGTAATCTCTTTCCCTATCGGCATGCTCGAAAGACGCTTCCAAAGACACCTTCTCCATTGCGAAACTTTGGAGGCGACACTTTGTAATTTACTTGTCCAGTACTCGTACAGCACACGGGCAGGTTGTTTTTGGACTGACTACAGGCACTAACACCGGCACTCCCGCTCGATACCCGTCGATCTATCTCCTTCTAACCCCCCAGGTTCAGGTTCAGGTCCTGGCCTGGTCTCCAATTGCGCAAGCAAATCTCAACGAAACCCTGAGCTGAGATGTCTCGCTGCCCTACGAGTACGATTCAATCGATGGACCCGTTCCCATCCAGTGCCAGTGCATCCTCCATCACGCTTTCAGCACTATCTGTCACGAAGTCAAAAAAAAAGCGTGACCGCCATTTCCCTCCCCACCTCATTCATCTCTCCAGAATCCAGAGTCCAGACCCTCGAGTCCCGAAACGAGTGGATCGCGCAAGTACCAAGTACCGACAGAGCCACCACTGCGGTGCGGTACTCTAACCACTGGGCTGAAATCTCCCCCTCCCCATCCCCCTCGCTATCCCCAATCTTTTGGCTTCGAGTCCACGATGTCATCGCGGGAGTGGCAAGTGGAGAGCTCCAGCTGGAGTGGATGAGCCTGAGCCAGGCCAGGTCCAGGGAAGGGGGTCTCTCCAACAAAAAAAAAAGAAGAAAAAGTCGTTCACGATGCGTTGGCATGGTAAGCAAGCACCTTAACCCACAGCGAAACCAAACCAAAGCACCATCGAGTTCCGGAACAGAATCCAGGTGTGGGGAAGAGGTACGACAATGATCTCCTCGATGCCCGAGATGGGTAGAATTGTCTGTGTTCCTGAGCTGGCTTCTTCTTGTGCATGTCTGTCTAGCTTTGGAACTAAGGATCCCAAGTTAAGCAGAGACAGCACGAATCCCCGCCGTTTCGTGAGACTCTACTGTACTCTAGCTATAGTACTCTCGAATAATGGAATCCATGATTGGATAGCGTAATAGAATTTCATGATTAGGTTTCGGTGTTAATAGAGCACGGTACCGGAACTCTGCTATAGTATACCCGGGTAGGTAGTAGCATCCACGTTCTACTATGTATTAGGTATACGACTATACGTTAATACGTAAACGAAAGGGAAAAACTAAGATAAACTAAGATTCTATACTTTACTATAAATCTTAATATATTCTAACTAAAATTAAGAATTTAACTTTAAATATTAACTATATAGTACTAATATATATATAAGTACTTATCTTAGAGAGAAAAGTAGAGTTTTTTAAATGGTTTAAAAACTCTCGAAAAAGGGTTTTATATAAAATCTAGTCTTAAGGAAAAAACCGCTAGGTAATAAAAGAAGGGCGGTTTATATATAAAAAATAGTTTTAAATATTGGATAGTTATATTAATAAGATTATTAAAAATAGTTTCTTATATATAAAAGTACTCTAGAATTATTCTAAAAGCGTTTTAAAAGTATTCCGGGACCGTTCTAAACCTGTTCTAAATTCTACTCTTCTAGGTATATATATAGTTATATAAGTAGGGTAGAGTACGTAGGTAGGGTACGTAAGGTACTCCCGACTAGCGCTCTAGTACCTGTAAGTATATATCTCGTATATCGCGGTTATTTCTAAGTTATCTTCTATTAATACTATATATTATATTATATATAATATAAACCCGTTAAATTTCGCTAAATTAACTAAATTTAATACTTATATTTTTATAGTATTAGGGCTAAGCGTATAAAAGTATATAATATAGCCTATATACTATAACTCTATAACTCTACGCGAGTACTTTTTTATAGTATCCCGGGACTATTCTAGAAGTATTCGAGAATTATTCTATAATTATTTAATAATTATTTAATAATAGTTCTTAGACTATTTATAAATTAAACTATTAATATAAAAGGTAGTTATAAATCTAAGACTATTTATAACTAAAATAGTTTAAAAACTATTTAATATTTAGACTATTATAAAAATAAAACTATTTAATATTAAAATAATTATTTATTTAAACTATTATATTTATAAAAAGTCTTAAGATTATTTTCTTTCTAAATAATTATAAATTATAAACTATTTATCTTTTAAATAGTTTTACATTAGTTTAAAATCTATAATAGTTTTTTTTAAAAATAGTTATAAATTAAAATAATTATATAATTTTAAATTATCTAGAAATAGTTTTATAATAGTTTTACTTGTAGATTATTCTATAACTATCTAAAAAACTCTACTTTCCTCTCCAAGGTATACTTATTAGCTTCGAAGTCTATAATAATTAAGTTTTTATAGTAATATATTATATTATAATTATATAATAACTTTTCGACTAATTAGAGAATTAAAGAGTTTTTTTTTAGATTTTTAGATTTTTAACTATTTACTAAAGAGGTTAGTACTACTAAGCCGGTACTACTACTAAGCTAGTACTTCTAGGTTTAATTTCATAAACTAATATTAAAATAATAATATATTCTTTTTAAATAATTTTAATAAATAAATACTTATAATAACTAGTTAAACTTATATAAAAAATAATATTAATTAATATTATAGGTTATTATAAAGATAGGTTAATATACAGGTAATAAGTTAATTTTTTAATAGAGTAGTTTATACTAATTAATTATAATATATATCTAGGTTCTATAATCTACTAAGGAACTACTATTTATTTAGGTATATTATATTAACTAATAACTAGAAATACTATTTAATTATAAATCTATTATTTTATAATTATCTAATAATATTAGAATTTAAATCAAATTATTTCTGTGACGGTTATGGTCGCGAGGGCTGGATGTCACATGCTCGCTTAGCGAGGCGCTAGCGCGCACGACCTGTATTTAGTTCCCAGCTCTCTCGAGCTCTCCTTCTTTCCTCGTCTTTTGTCCTAAGAATAGAGTGTTAATTGTTCTGAGTTCTACCTGAAGCACGTCTGTCACAATTTCGACCGTTTATTATTAAGTTATTCATTATTTAAATTAGAACTACCGGCTTAGTAATAGTATTAGCTTAGTAGTACTAATTCCTTTAGTAGGTAGTTAGAAAATTAAAAAATTAAAAATTAATCTAAAACTCCTTAATTCTCTAATTAGTTAGAAAAATCTCTTAGTAATTATACCTTACTATAAAGACTTAAATATATATACTCCGAAGCTAATAAATAGAGTACTAGCTACTCTAAGTAGCTCGGAGCGTGTAAAATAGGTTTATAAGCCCTCTTTTACTATATTTACTAATTTTTCTTAAGAATAATTTATTATAGTATTTTTATTATTAAGAGCTAAGACTAAAAGTAGATATTATAAATCTAAAATACTAGCTATATATATATATATCGTTAAGGGGATAAATATAGGTACCTAGGTATAATATTATAAAGAATAATAAGCATGATAAACCTACCTACCTATTAATCCCCTACTTCTATACTTCCTCCCTTCCTCCTCTCCTCTCCCTTCCTTCCTCCCTTCTCTTATAACACAAGCTCCTCCCCTCCCCTCGCTCCCCCTATAAACCCACCCTGCCCTGCCTAGTAGGTAGTCCCCTACGTACCTAGTAGTAGTACATTATTATCACGGGTTATCTCGTCTCGTATACCTACATACCTACCTACCTAGGTACCTAGGTACATCTATCATTCAAGGGACAAAGACACGACTTTATACAACTCTCATAACTCTCGTGACCTCCACCTACTATAAAACACCTCACCTTATCTCCATCACCCTCATCCTATCTCCATCACCCTCACCCCAAACAAAACCGAAAAACAAGAAAATCCCCACAGCGTAAGGCTATTACAAACTTACAGTAAAATAAAAACCTTCCCACACGCCTCACCATACAGTAACTTGCCTTACCTTACACTACGGAACAAACCGTCCGTGTACATGTAACACATGAACCTTTATACAGCAAGATTACTTGTACATTTCCAAACTTTCAGCCTTATAACTTTACTTCCCACACACAAGAAGAGACACTTATACACTACGTCGGCACTACTCCAAAGAACAAACAAACAGACAAACACGTAAAATTCAAAGTCAGTTTCCAAAATTCCAAAAATGTTCATACACAGTACAGCGTCTTAATTTCTGATTCTGTAACTACATACTGTATGACAACCTCTCGTACCTAGCTACCTAAGCGCAAGAACCTCTCATCTCCTCTCATCTCATCTCATCCCCATCCATCCAACCAAGAGAAAAATTCCCAATCTGGATAAATCATAGATTTGATACAAAAAAAAAAGGGGGGGGGGGCTGCTGATGGACCCAAAGTCCCAAAATCCCGAAAATCCTATCCTACTTGACTTTCTCAAAGCCAAAAAAAAGACCCCTATCATTGACAAAACACTAAGCTCCATCCGAGCCCGGAAAGGAGATCCAAGGATAAGAGAACAAATGTACGCCTCCCAAGCCCCCCCAAAACCCCATCATGTAACATGCGACTCCCATAGTCGCAGTGTCCCAATGGTATGATATCTCCCAGATCCCGAATGCCAGATGCCCCCTAAGATAACAGTAGAAAAAAGAAAAAAAGGAAAATGTGGTTTTGAAATGCTGTAAGTAGTGAGTGAGTATCTTGCCAAAAGTGATTTCCGCCCCCACGCTCCCAGATGCTAGTATTGTAACTCAAAAAAAAAACTTTTTTTTATGACCAGAGACAGCAAGGAAAATAATAATAATAATATGATGTGAGATGTGATGATATGCTCCCAGATGATGCTTTTTTTGTACAACCCAAAAATCATTCGTATAATGTGAATTGAACGCCGAATCCTTGTTGACGGAAGGATGTGAGAGGAGGTGTGGGTATTGTATTGTAATCGTAACAGGTAGCTCTGAAAAAAGTATCCAGATTGTGCAAAGGCACCGTGAGATGATGAAAGGTAAATGATTCCCAGAAGAGTGTGTAGTAGAAGAGTATGTGAAGATGAATGATTTAGTTGGATTGACGACGATTGTTTCGAGATTGATCGAATGCACTGGCATACGCTCTCAATGCCTTCCTCGACTCGTCCGACAAGTGTGTTGGTTCTGTTGACGTGGTACTGCTCTGCATGGAGCAAAGGCTCGATTGGGAACTGGATGGAGTCAAGACTGGCTTGGTGTAGTACTGAGGTGAGGTTTGTGGTCGGGAGGATTGGTAAAAGGTGGAGGTACGTGGGGAGGGAGTGGTGCCATAAGGCTGTGGGTTGCTGAAGTTGTAGGCTGGCTCGAGGTGAAATCCTGTGCGCGAAGATCGTGATGGCCAAGAAAAGGCAGCTCGTGGAGAGGAGGGAGATGACGCTGTTGATCCGGCACTCGATGAAGCTACTTCATACTCGGCCAAACGACACGATTCTGAGCAGTATACTCTGCCATCCGTCTGTTTATCACACGCAAGACAGAAGTCTGGAGACCAATCCATTGCGGTTGCCATTGTGAATTGGGAGGTGTGGTGGAAGTGAGGGGTTGTAGGTCGTGTGGGAGTCGAAATGAGACGAAGGCAGCGTTTTTGTTTTCCCCCTTCTTGCACAAGGTGGACAAGTCGCTGTTTATGTAGTCTCGAGAGGACGTCGTCAAGTTTGCTTGTGCGAAAAGTTGTACACGAATTTCGGTGTGGTCAGGAACTGTGTGACTCAGAAGCGGAGCAGGCTGGTGCAAAAAGAGGTTGTGCTTTTTGGGGTGATGGTCTGAGTGTGAGTGCGTAAGGCGGCTATCTGACAGTAGAAAATTGGTGAAGGATGGTGGAGGGAGTGGATGTGATGTGCTGGTGAGTGATGAATGCGAAGACCATTCCAAAGTGAAGCAGAAGGATATTATTTGTAGAAGGGGATGGCGAAGTGAAGTCGAAGTGCAAGTGCAATGCGGATGTGGAAACTCTCGATGGTGGATTGAGGGAAAGTCATATACAAGAAGTCGGCAGCGGCAGCGACAACGACAGCCACAGCCAGTTTGAAGCCCCGCTTTTCCCAGAACTGCAGGGGCCTGATATTTTTCTGGGGCTAAGCTCGATTGGGCAGAGATGGTGTGGATCCGGTGGAGCTGTGCGGACCAGGGATGACCCCTGCTGAACAATGTGAGAAACTTCGTCCGTCGATGGCACCATTTTTCTGAAGACTGAAGACTGAAGACTGAAGACCTTGATCACCTGCCTCGGGTCTTACAAGGCCGCCGTCACTCAGTGATCACTGATCAGTCAGTGATTGATCCCACCACCGACTAGGAGGCATCGATTGGGCTAGACAATCTACTACGACGACGATGAAGAGGCAGCGAGTATGTCTACGGCTACCTCGCTGGGACCGTAAAGCATTCCGTCCTTGACGTAGGTACTCGGCATAACATCATCAGCGCAGCGCCTATGGCGGCTTCTCAAAACCTTCTCGTCGGGTACAAAGTACTTTTACAGAAACGACGTAATCCACTTGTAGCATAGCATACCATCGCTAGGTTGGCTACTACGCTAGCGTCGTCGCCCAACTGGGCATAGTACTTGCCCAAGGCAAGGCCGTACTCAAGTACTGCCCAGTAGCCAGTAGCCAGGCTGGGCACTACTTACGAAGTACTTCGTACTAGGGACGGATTCTCTTGTACGTGCCTACTACTTCGTAGCGAGATTCCGCTTCGCCGCTTCGGCCACTCGCGGTTTTCCAGCACAGCGCATCGCAGCAGCATCACCAACGAGCGAAACGCGGCCAGCTCTGCACGATCCTGCCTTTCTGCCTTTTAGTGGAGCGCCAATGGATGGAGGATGCGTGCCCGTAAAGCAGCACCGCGACGTGGGATGTCATGTCGAATGAAGGCAGTTTTGCATTTCTGGCAGGCAACCTGGCAACCTGGCAAGCCCCATAGCATCGCATCGCATCGCGACAGGCCTCGGGCATTATTGGCATGCTGCAAGCATCGAGGGTGGTACTGCATGAAGCTGCTATGGGTAGTGCCTGCCAGGTCTGGACTTGAAGCAGGGCCGGCAGGAGTAGGTACTAGAGCAGACCACTGCACGGCACTGGCTTTGAACCACGACATCACCACTCACCACTGGTTCATGTCATATTTTCAGGGTCTTATCCAGTGTTTTGGTGTGGTGACACTCGCATAGTGGGCGTTGTTCAGCAGGACAGTCCCTGGATCGAGGGTCAAGCCACTGAACGAACGATGGAATGTACTTCGTAGAAGTACGGAATCGATGCGATGGGGACGGAGGTGGAGGACGGAGACTTGGGCTTTCCCAATTCTACGTAGTATCCGAATTTATCGAGGTTCTCTGGAAATTTACGGTACGGAGGTACCGCGCCCACATTAACATCCACACCTATTAAACAGATCTGGGGAAGTACGAGCCTGCAAACCTTCCACCACCTGGCAGGCTTGGAAGGCGAGGACGAACAATCCACCAAGAGATCTCGCGAAGCCCTTCGTCACAGCAAGCGCGGTAGAAGTTGCTACAGATATAGCACCTCTGCACGGCAACTATCAGGGACATAGTCGCAGAAGAGCAATTTTCGCCGTGGCCGTGGCCTGCGTTGCGCGTAATGTTGCGCGCAATGATGCTCTCACTGTTGCGCTCTCTGCGCTCTGCAATCTGTACAGTACTAATCCTACAAACAGGCAGTACAATAGTACTGTACGGTTACTCTACCCTTCGGAGAATACAGAAACACCTTGGCCTCTTATCACCCAATCACCAGCCCTCAGGACTTCGTCATTTCCAGGCCTCAGGCTGAACAACAACCTCATTTCTGTAGGTGGGGTGGGGGAGGGAGCTGGTGGAGCACAGGCACTGGCACTACGAACCTTGAACCTGGGATGGAATCGCGCATCGCCAAGCGTGTTGCATTCAAGTGAGGGTTGTGTCTCTGTCGGATTTTCCCATCATCCTGGCTCGAGAGTTCCATCTTTCCAGGCCTTTTGAGTCTTTCATCCCACCATGTCTGGCTATCTGGTTAGAGTAGAGTAGGGGGTATCGCATCACATCACATCTTTACTCTTCTCTATCTGCACTGCAGCACTACCACTGGTGTATGTGAGCACTTGAATCAATTCATCACCAACGGCCTGCCCTGTCCTCCTCCTGTCATCCCATGCGAAATTACATGATAGAGTGATTAGCGCCATCACTTCCACCTTCCAGTTACCAGTTGTACTAACCCATCATAGTATGACCAAGCAAGAAAAAGGTACGGACGAGTACAGCACCAACACTAGCACCAGTACTCACTTACAGTCGTATCTATACCTACCATACAAACACTCCATTTTTCAGCAAGCCTGAGACGCATCTACTCAGGAATTATGTGTGGTGGGTAAGGTATGATAAGCAAAAATGATACGAAGTACTTCCATCTCTCAAAAGGCAAGCTGATAATAACAGGCATCGTCTCATCTCCATCTCTATCTCTGCACAGGGCAGGGCAGGGCAATTAGCAATTCAAGGTGCTGACCGAATCACGAGAATAGTACTCGATGTCCTGCCCTGCCCTGCTCTGTCCTACCCTGCCTTGCTACAGTTAAATTTACGCCCTATCCCCCTTCTGGTTTGACTCGCAGGAGGGTGTGCTGCTGATCTTCCCCTCACTTGCCGCTGGACAGGCTGGGGCAGGCTGAGGCAGGCTAGGATGCCGCGTGATGTAGGACAGAGAGTGGAGGAGTGCTTGATTTTTAGGTAGGTGGGTAGGTAGATAAGTAAAGATGGAGAGGGAAAGGGGTTTGAGAGTTGTGGATGGGGATGGGGATGGGGGTTTATGGTATGTATGTATGCATGTGTGTATGTATGTACTGTACTAACTGGATTTGAACGCCCGTCTCTTTAATTAGGAGTGGATATAATGACTTGGGGATTCGCTGGTTGCTTGGTTGGTTAGGGGAGCTGGTAAACCGACCCCCGGGGGTTAGGTAAATCGACTCCCCCCCCCCGCTCGCTTAATCTTATGGAAATTCACTACCCCTAACTTAGTAGTAAACATAGTGCCCTTTTAGGGAAGTGGATTTCTTTCTAGCTAGTAGTAGGGTAATAAAAGTTTTTTTACTAGCGTATATACTTTAAACTAGACCTTAAAACTATTTCTACTTCTTATATATAACATTTTTATAAAATATAATAGAACTACTAGAGTCTCCTAGTACTTATCTAAAGGCTCTATAAGAGCGAATAAGTGTTCTTGACTCTTATAAACTTTAAAAGAAAGCTTTTTATATAATTAGTTATAAAATTTAATTTAATTAATTTTATTTCTAATTATTTATTATTTATAATACTTATAAATAAGGCTACTATTAGTAAATAAATATCATAGTATAACTATAAATAAACTTTCTATAAAACTTAATTACTTATCTAAAAGTAAACTTATTAACTTATTCCTTTAAAAAAGAAACTTTTTATATAATATATAAATAAATAATAAATGGTTACTATACTTTTAAATATATAGTATTAAAACAAAGGTAAAGTTATTATAAATAATATATCTAAAGCTTAAACTACTAATTAGATAAAAGAAAAGGAAGTTAATTTATCTAATCCCCGGGGGTTAATTTACTAGCTCCCGTTAGTTGTGACGGAGCTGGATTTCATTTGACAGGATTTCATTCGCTTGGCCAAGCACGTGACGAGACTTGGCATTGGAACAACTTAAATAACTTCGCTCTTTTCAGATTCACTTCTCTCTTTAGTTTGATTTCTTCGTACCTACGGTTTTAGTTCTAGCAATTGATTCAAAAGCTGTATACACTTTATCCTTTGTTGGCATCCGTGACATTAGTTAGTCTTTATATATACTATTGTACTCGAATATTATATTGTAAATAAACTACATCTACCTATATATTTCTACTCTTCTCTAAGCTAGATAGGTAGTTATTATAGTACTTCATACTATAATATAATATTCTTTTCTTAAGTCTAATCTAGAAAGGTTTTAAATTAGTACTTTATCTAAATAAATACTCGAGTAAATTTACTAGTAGATTTCTATTTTTATTTCCATAATACTTAGGTGTAGAAATCTATATATCTATATATATAAGTATATACTCTACCTTAAAATAAGGGTAGCTATTCTTTATATATATAAGTATAATCTTTAGTATACTTATTAGGTATTTACTTAGATATTCTACTAATATAAATTACTAACTAAGGTAAATCCTAATCTTAGTATAAGAGTCTCTAGGGATCTAAGGAACGAGAGTAAAATCTATATTAAGACGAGAGTATTACACTAGATTAGGTAAATCCGCTTAGGTACTAGTATAGAAGAAAGAAAGAGTTTATCATAAAGAGAAATTTAATTATTTATTATACTAAGGATCTCGAAGGATATAGGGATTTAGAAATTCCTCATTTCTACCGAGTAAGTAAGTATAGTAGAAAATAGTAATATATTTATAACATTATTATCTAAAGTACTAATTCCGCAAATAGTAATAACTTTCCTA